TATCAATCCTTTGTCAGATATATGATTTAGAAATATTTTCTTTTATACAGTAGGTTGCCTTTTCATTTTGCTGATGGTTTCCTTTGCTGTGCAGAAGCTTTTTAGTCTGATGCTCACCTTGCTAATTTTTGCTTTTGTTGCCTTTGCTTTTGATGTCACATCCAAAAAATTATCACCAATACCTTAAGGAACTTATGGCTTATGTTTTCTTCTAGGAGGTTTATTGGCTTCTGGTCTTATGTTCAAGTCTTTATAATCTATTTTGAGTTAATTTCTGTGTATTAAGATAATAGTCTAGTTTAATTCTTTTGTATGTGGCTGTTCAGTTTTCCCAATACCATTTATTGAAGAGACTGTCCTATCCCAAATGTATATTCTTGGCTGTATCATAAATTAATTGTCCATATGTGTAGTTTAATTTTTAGGCTGTTTATTCTATTCCACTGATCTGTACATCTGTTTTTATGCCAGTAACATGCTGTTCAGTATTTTTTCCTGATGGCTGGACATGTTCTGTGTAAAAGGCCTTCAGTAACATGGCAGGAAGGTGTGGGAGAAGGGGAACTGTTCTACAGTTTTACAATTAGGTCTTAAGTCTTTCATTGAGCATATGACGTCAAACTTTGAACTTCACAAGTGTTTCTCAGTCTTTTGTTCTCCCCTCCTTAAGCAGGAGATGATGGACATAGTGGCCTGGAGTTGGGTCTTCCTGTGTGGAAGTATAGAGTTAACTAGAATTGGGTAATTTCCTTTCCCCCATGTCCACTTGGCTCTGATAATAGGCCCTGATGAACTACTTTCTCCTGAGTGCAGGCCTTATTAAGGAGAACAGAATGCTCTGGCATATTTCAAAGTGTACTCCATCTCTTATGGCTCCAAGAGGTTTCACTTTGTTCAGCTTTTTAGTTATTGATAGGATGGTGTGGCAACTTCAAAACTTCTTAAATGTGGAACCAGAAATGAGAAGTCCTCAACAACCCATTTTTTATTTATTTTTTTGGACTGTGAATTTTATTTTATTTTTATTTATTTTTATTTTTTTCATGTTGGCTACATACATTTTCATATTTTTTATTATTTTTTCCATTTATTTGTATTAGTTGGAGGCTAATTACTTTATAATATTGTAGTGGTTTTTGCCATACATTGACATGAATCAGCCATGGATTTACATGTGTTCCCCATCTCAATCCCACTCCTGTCTCCCTCTCCATCCCATCCCTCTGGGTCTTCCCAGTGCCCCAGCCCTGAGCACTTGTCTCATGCATCCAACCTGGGCTGGTGATCTGTTCACCCTTGATACTATACTTGTTTCAATGCTATTCTCTCAGAACATCCCACCCTCGCCTTCTCCCACAGAGTCTAAAAGTCTGTTCTGTACATCTGTGTCTCTTTTTCTGTCCTGCATATAGGGTTATTGTTACCATCTTTTAAAATTCCAAATATATGCATTAGTATACTGTATTGGTGTTTATCTTTCTGGCTTACTTCACTCTGTATAATGGGCTCCAGTTTAATCCATCTCATTAGAACTGATTCAAATGAATTCTTTTTCATGGCTGAGTAATATTCCATAGTGTATATGTACCACAGCTTCCTTATCCATTTGTCTGCTGATGGGCATCTAGGTTGCTTCCATGTCCTGGCTGTTATAAACAGTGCTGTGATGAACATTGGGGTACACGTGTCTCTTTCAGATCTGGTTTCCTCGGTGTGTATGCTCAGGAGTGGGGTTGCTGGATCATATGGCAGTTCTATCTCCAGTTTTTTAAGGAATCTCCACACTGTTCTCCATAGTGGCTGTACTAGTTTGCATTCTCACCAACAGTATAAGAGGGTTCCCTTTTTTCCACACCCTCTCCAGCATTTATTGCTTGTAGACTTTTGGATAGCCGCCATTCTGACTGGCGTGTAATGAATGGTACCTCATTGAGGTTTTGATTTGCATTTCTCTGATAATGAGTGATGTTGAGCATCTTTTCATGTGTTTGTTAGCCATCTGTATGTCTTCATCTGTATGGCCCATTTTTTGATTGGGTCATTTATTTTTCTGGAATTGAGCTGCAGGAGTTGCTTGTATATTTTTGAGATTAATCCTTTGTTTCTTCATTTGCTATTATTTTCTCCCATTCTGAAGGCTGTCTTTTCACCTTGCTTATAGTTTCCTTTGAACAACCTGTTTTTTAAATGCTTTCATTTTCACACTTCAATTTCTAAATAGTTTCAAGAATAAGGGACATCAGTAAGTCATTTCTGTTATCCCAACATACTGAAATTAATGTATCACTGTTTAATTGGGCTCAAGAAAGCCCAAGGTAATTAGCATTAAAAAAAACTGAAATAGTAACTGATCTCCCCTTCTTCCTGGATGAGTGAGCAGATGATGAAATAGTGACATCAACATCCTTGAACATATCCAAGTGGGCAGTGCTTGGCTACTGCTTCTGTTTGAAATGATGCTGTGTTTTGGTTGTGGTCCAAAGCTTTGAAGTGCCACTTGGCATCTCCTTTCTTCCATGAAGCTCTTAACCATTCAGATATGATGGAGTTGGTCAAATACTACTTAAGTTGAATCCTGCTTGCCTCTCCTCAGTCATCTTTGTATGAATCCAATGGTTGTGTTTTATTTTTTTAATCAGTTTTTAGCTGACATTCATGAAGAACAGTGAATACCTAGAATTATGCCACTAAACAAAGGAAATCCTATCTAAGAAGGTGTATTTCTGTACCAGAGCTGTGTCATAACCATCATTTGGGCCCTCTGCAGGAAAAGCAGATTCAAGTCTCAAATAATGCCTTTTTAACTATATCTTCTAGTATCACAGATGTAGGACAGTACTGTATCATATCTCTGTGAATGTAAAATATCTTGTAGCTGCTTTATGATATGTAGTAGTGACCATGCTTTATCAGATCTGTTTTTAATGATGTTATTCTAGAATGTTTTCTTTCCAGATGATGACTGAGAAACATAATTTGAAGAAATGGTGCCAGGTACCACAACAGTAACAGAACTTTGTTGTTTTCTGAGGTTTTGTTTTTTTACCTTTTTTTTTTAATGGAGTGTGCTGGATGTTTCTATAATTTTGTTCAGATGATTGCAGAACTTTGAAAAGCTGTTGCTGCTATTGATGCATAACATACTGCTATTGGTTTTTTTATATAAATAAATAAATAAAATTTGAGTTTTTGGAAACTTTGGCTGTGCTGTCAACTTTGGAAAAAGTATCCGAGTTGTACTGTGTTGGGTTGGCATTGTACAGAAATTAACAGCCATATTGGTCTAGAAACATTTAATATAATTTTTTCCATTTGTACAGGGGTAATGCACTGTATTAAATATATTAGGTCTTATCTACATGGGTTTGATTACAGAAACTAATAAAGTATTCTATAAATTAAAAAAATATAAAAACTGAAATAGAACTGAGTAAAAAATATTATACATTATAGGCAATTAAGGTAAGTGCATGGGTATGTTGTAATGTTTATTTTTTAATGTGGATCACAGGATAACCTTGAAAGATTATAGTATCAAAATATTTTAAAATAAATTTTAAAAATAGAGATATTAGAAAGTGTGAGAAAAATACAGTTCACCACTATCTTGTTTATTTGGATTCCATATATGTAAAATTCATAAATTATGATCACAATGAAAACTGAATTTCAAGTTACTTTTATATTAAAGAAAAAGGGTTATTTGAACAATTCAAATGTATGTGAAAATGGACTTATCTGCTTATAAACATACGAATCTGTTAAGTATCCATGCATCAACACCTAAATACTAACCCAAAATTTGAAACCATTTTAATTCTATTTAACATGTAAAGTTTGTATTTCAGCACATAAAGCACAAGACTTAGATCAGAAATTTAGGAATCAGAGGCTTAGATATGAATTCCAGCACCACCACTCACTGACAGGTTGACTTTGGGAACATCACTGAACATAAATTTAAATTTTGTTACTGGTAAAATGGGAATAATAACCTACATCTATGATAGTTGGAGGTAAACAATAAAATATAAACAAACACACTCATGTGAAAAAAAGCTTAGAAACCTAAAGTGCTATGTACTATCAGGTATCATCATCAAATAGATAATAATCTCCTGTGCAAGTATTAACAAAAGACTTCTTAATTTTTCCACCCCTCCTAAAACCAAAATCTTTACAGGCCAAATGTCTCTTGATTTCATTGCTATACTTGGTAAGTACAACATAAGTGGAGGCATTTTCATCTATATTTTTACATACAGTTTTTTTCAAAGTACGTTGATTCTTGGACAACACAGGTTTGGAACAACACAACTATGAAGGTCCATTTACACATGGATTTTTTTCAATAAAAACCTACTACGGTGCTATCAATACACGGTATCAATATCAACATCAATATCAATATCAACAGCTATCAGTATCAACAGTTGGTTGAATCTGTGACACAGAATTGTGGATATGGGAGAACGGAATAAATTATACTCAAATTAACTACACAAAATGTTGGTGCCCCCAGCCTCAATGTGTTTAAGGGTCACCTGTACGCAGCTCTTTTTGAAGATTCTAGGTGAAACTCAAGTACTATTCTTAGTATTCTGGAAAGGTAAATTAACCCTTAATGTGAAAGGGTAAATTAGGAGTCCCATAAACAAATTTGTGAAGGAGATATAGAAAATACTGGAGAAGCAGTTGTTTTACTTAATACCATATACACAAATAAGGCTGGCAATTATAAATAAGTGGCACCATTAAAATATCAGTGGCAAAATTCTTCTCAGGAAATTTTTTTTATTATTCAGGTTAATAAATATACTTGAAAATAAAAAGAGAAATTCTTATTACAAATAAATATATAATGTATTTAACTGATTTGCCTACACGAATGAACTCAATAAAAGATGTTTTAATCACAATTTCATGTCTTTCCACTTAAAAGATCATTTAATGTTATAGCATTTAGCCTTCAAATAGTCACAAAAGAATGTCAGACTCACCCTGATAGTGCTGCCGATGACTTCCATTACCTTGCCTCGATACCACATAGTATCTGATCCCCTTACTGCACAAGCTTCTCCCTTTTTCCAGAAATAAGGCTCCAAAAGACCAAGGCATTTTAAATTACTTTGAATTTCATCCATCATTTTTGTTAGTTCAAATTCTGAAAAAATTATTTAAAATAGAAAGCATTTAGGAAAAATTCCCTACCATTCTCAAATGAAGTCATCATCAAACTTCAGTTACTTTACCACGTGTGTGTGTTAGTCCCTCAGTTGTGTCCGACTCTTTATAATCCCATGGACTATGGCCTGCCAGGCTCCTCCATCCATGGGATTCTCCAGGCCAGAATACTGGAGTGGGTTGCCAAGTTCCTTCTCCAGGGGATCTTCCTGACCCAGGGATCACACCTGGATCTTCCACATTGCAGGCAGATTCTTTACCATCTGAGCCACCAGGGAAGTCCCACTTCACCACTTAGATAACATTGAAAGGAATTAAAATCAGTCCCTACATAATAGAACTTTAATACAAATCTAATTCGGTCAGTAACTTCTCTATGTTTCAAAACACACTACTGACTAACAACATGTAAATTATTATTCTGATCTCTGGTTATAAACGCAAGCATTATTTTAGAAGTGCAAAAATCCGTAAAACTCTAAACACATACCCAGATAGCCCTAATATAAAAGAACTAGTGCTTTAAGTTAACATCATTTTGACAGCACACCTAAGTGAAACAGAACACAAGTTATATGTTATTTGATGCTTAGATACAGCATAATACTGCAGGTATAAAATTAAAATTCTAATACTGCCACTTCCAATTAACTGGCTTATTATTTCCACAATAAATAAATATCCCCATAACTTATACCAGAAAGGGTAAGCTTTGGTGTCAGTTCCTGTAACAGTTCAGCTGTGAGTTCTTAAACATAAGCCTCAGTCTTGGGGAGGGGCTTCCCTGGTGGTCCAGAGGTTAAGACTCTGCCCTTCCAATGTACGGGGCATGGGTTCAATCCTTGGCTGGGGAATTAAGATCCAACATACACTCCAGGGTGGCCAAAAAAAAAAAAAAAAACCAACTCTCAGTCTGTTCTTCTATAAACTAGGTGTAATAGTGCCAACCCACATTATCAATATCAGGGGATTGAATGGAAGGCATCTGGCAACCAGTTCTACCTATGATTATTTGTACACATCAAGAAAGTTTCTGGGTTAAGTACTATTGCTAGAGGTCTGAAACACTACTCACTTCTAGAATTGTCAATCACACAGATTTAGTCTGGTTCTCAAATTAAAAAACAATATTTAGGACTTTAACAAATGAGACAAAAAATTTCAACAAATTCATAGCCCCCATACCTCTCTCCATAGGTGGACTTACTATGAAGCTAACAGAGTCTAAGTAAGTCCTGTGAAAGCTAGAGTTGCTGTAAGTTATTGAGTGTTCTGGACACAATCAGATTGTAGAAAGAAGTGTGAGCACATAAGTCTAAAGAGGTTTCAGGGACCACCTAAATGTCAAATGGCCCTGAATCTCCAGTCATTGACTGATTTCTTTTCTCATTCTAAATGAATTCAAACTTTTGTATTCTTTTTTCTTAGAGAGCCTACAAACTTGTTTAAAGGAACCACCTCATGCTCATCTTAGGCCCAACGTTTATCCATTCCCAATGTCTCAATGATTTTCATGTGCTGGGCATTGTGAAAAGCACTTTTTGTATATTGCATTTAATCCTCACAATAACTCAGTGAATGAAAATAAGGTTCAGAAAGGTTAAATATCTACCCAAGGTTATTTCAATCCATGTGGATCTTACTAGAGAATTCCCTAGTGGTAAAAGCAACGATTTTTACAGAATAATCCTATATAAAGTGAAAGTTCTTACCTGATAATTTAGGTACCACAAATATAGTTCCATCATCACCAATGCAGCTGACTACTGCCTCAAATACTTTCTGGTTAGGAATAGCTGGTGGTTTATAGCATCCAGTGGTTCTTGGCTCTAGAATTTTCTCCCTAAATTCAGTCACCTTGGGTTCACTGATACCAACAGCAGCTTTCTTGTCAGGGTCAGAGTTAATCTTAATACACTTAGTAACCACTGATTCTCCTTGTTCCTGGGGGATTTCCAGAGACTTCTGGGATAATGAACGGCTATTATCTAATTTATTACTTCTGTAACATGCAAGAAAGAATAATATATCCAACCATGAGCAAATAAAAATATTCTGGGAAAACAATATAAAAAGAATCATTCAAATATACTTGAAATGTAAAGAAAACATTTTGCTCTAGTTTAGGAGATCCTATTTGTTACATAAAAATGAGCACAGTTTAAGTTGTAATGAGAACTATTTTAAATTATGAATGAGCTTGTTGAGAATAAAGCAATAGAATTTCACTTAAATGCATTAAATTACCATCTGATATTTACATGCTATTCTCTCTTAAAATCTTCTATTACGTATATCTCAAGTACCACACAATTAGTTGTTACTGGGAAATACAACAGCTTCAAGTTGATTTTAATTTAGCCCAAAGGCAGATCAATACATGTGGCAAGTTAACAACACTCATAAAATAATGCAAAGATAATAAGTCCCTTAAAAACACAGTTTTCTCATATTATTCAGATATTAAGTATTAGTGGTAACATGCTATATTCACTGATAATTGTTTTACTTCCTGTTATTCTCTTCCAATTAAAAAAACCTACAAAAATATCCTAGAAGGAAATACAAACATTTTGATGCTAGAAAAATTATAGATTTTTGTTTTTTCCATTTTCCTGTACTTTCTTCTAAACGGAAATGAGCACTTATAAAACAGTACATAATTTCTCAACAAACATCCCCAGCCTTGAGATAGTAGTTTTACTGCCAAAAAACTAGAAAAGAATATTAAATTAGTGGCAGATACTGTTGGTAATATTAACTTGCCCAGCACTTTTCACTTTATCATTTCCTGCAGCAAGGAACTGTGTTAGCCTGCAGTCAGTCAACACAAGACTAGCTGCAGAGCCTGGCTGCTTGCCAAGTCAGCATCTACTACACTGGCCAAATACCTTGGGTTCTGCACTATTTCTGATCTCTCATTCTCTTTCCATTTCATTAAGATTGGGGTCCTGATCCAAGTAGGGTAAGAGATAACAATCTAAGATGAAAAAAAGAGATCTGGCCACGAATGGCAGATGGTTGCTACCTAGAGCATGTATTTACAACTCTAATCTACTTCTACCTCTAAAAGGAAAGAGATAAAAAGAGGATATTAGGGCTACTACAGTTAATAGCCTGATCCTTCTCCTCTGGGACCAAAGTATTTAAACCCCAAACTTAGTACCTGAAAGGATCTTTACATGTATATATTGTTCAATTACTTTTGTTTTGCTACCCAATTCTACTCATTTTCTACCTATTTCACACAAATATATTTGATATAAACTTACCAGAATTTCTAACATGAAGTTTAAGTATTTCTGTCTAAGCAAATGAGGTTAAATAGCACAGATTTGGTACCCACTGTATAATTCTCTTTTCCTTTGGTTTAAAGTGTAAACGCCAGAGCAAAGGGGAAAGTATAAAAGCAAAAATGTCAGTAGGGATTTAAACATTCAGCAGTCTTGAGTGAATTTGTTGGCTCCTCAGGGTTAGGTTATATATAAATCATTTTCAAGAACAAACGAGAGGCAATTCAGGTTGAGCACACACAGATATAAAGATTTACACAGGCAAAGAAGCAGCATCCATCACAAAATATTTTTTAAAAACAGTCTATACCTTGTTTCTCTCAAAGCCAAACCCTTTTTAATCAAATATTTAGAAACATCAACACGCTCTCCTTTTTCATCTTTGCAGAAAATTTTCACAGGTAAGGGCCACATTGTATTGTTTTCCTGCAGTGATTTAAGAGCAGAATAAATATGAGACTCAAAAATGCAACTTCTTATAAACATTACACTTTTCACAGGTGTTCCCTCCACATTCTCCATGCCACAAAGAAAAATTTCCAACCAAGTAATTTTGATCTCTGAACACATCAGAGAGAAAATAGCATGGAAAAGAGTCAACAAAGAAAGACAGTTGTTTTATGAACTCTTATCATGAACACTTAACAGTCAAGGTGAAGTTTACCAAAAAGAGGAGAAAAATGGATGACTGAAAACTTTTTTTTCCCATTCCAGGTTGAAGAGAGGAATATACCCTCAGTTACAAGCTCTCTATTCTCCTAAATTCTTTGTAAGTTATATAACTAAACTATTTTTTCCCTGGTGTGCCTTTTTTTTCCTTGTGAAAAGCCAAAGAAAGAACTACAAAACATATATTCTGCTTTCTGTGGAATTACAAAAGGGGGAAGTACACACAGGAAAAATAAACATAAAATTACTTATAAGAAAATTCTAATCATTAATGCAATAAAATGGATCAAACTGCATTACTGCAATAATGTATCAAATTAAAAAAAGGTTAAGGAGGCAAGAAATACTTCTTAAGTGTTCTGAAAAGATTTATCCTATATATGTATCCTTTCTCAAATCCATATTCATACAAACATCTTTTAGACATACAGTTAATATGATTTCACTAGAAGCCTAACTTTCCAATTTGTAAAGAATATAAAAAATTCCCAAATGGCATTAACTTGAAGACCCAAAAAAGGTTGCAAAAAAATGTCCAAACAGGAAATTCTCTGATGGTCCAGCAGTTAGGACTCTGCACTTTCACTGCCAAGGGGCCCAGGTCTGACCTCTAGTCGGGGAACTAAGATCCCATGTGCCATGTAGCCAAAAAAAAAAACAAAACAAAAAAATCCCAATAGCTATTATTTTCTCAATAAAATAAATGGACCTGTACAAAACACCAATGAAATAACCAGTACATATCTATTCTACCTGTTCACCTTGTCACACACCTGTATGATAATGGTTGCTACAGCTCCAGTGAGGTACAATGAGAGGCAGTCACAGGCTGTCGCTGTCCACTTGTCACTCCCACCTGTTGGTCTAAAACAAAAAAATGATACCTTGTCTTACAACAAATAGTATAGGATAAAGAAACATAAAAGAACCATCATATACATATATATTTGCATCAACAACATACGTAGTGAGAAATCAATTTAAACATGGCTTTGTGTTATTATCTTAAATTTCTTCCCCATTTTCATAGCCTTTTGTTCATCCCTCTAGTCTCCTTACAGCCCAAATTACATGCTAAGTTATTTATATACATCTGTTCTGAGGCTGCACTGAGAACTCTTAAAATTTAAGTACGCTTTAAGTTTTCTAAAGCTATTATATACATTTCATATATGCTGAAAAAAAGTGAAAGTTAGAAGTGTTAGTCGCTCAGTCATGTCTGACTCTTTGTGACCTCATGAACTGTAGCCTGCCAGGGTACTCTGTCTGTGGTATTCTTCTGGCAAGAATACTGGAGTGGATTCCCTTCTCCAGGTGATCTTCCCGACCCAGGGCTAATTACACCATAAACTCAGAGAGCAGGGATATATGTTATGTGTACATACATTTGACCCTTGAACAATGTGGGGTTAGGGGTGCTGACCCTCCATGCAGTCAAAAACCTGTGTATAACTTTACAGCTGGCCCTCCATAAGGCAGTTCTGCACTCAGATACAACCAACCACAGATGCGTCACTAGTGCCAAACTACGTATAAGAGGACCTGTGAAGTTCAAACCTGTGTTATTCAAGGGGCCATCTGTACACTATGTGTTGTATGTTTTACGTGTATTGTGTCTTAGTCTATCATATCTCCAATGCCTAGGATAGTTCACAGCACACAGAAGGCACACCAAAAATTCTTAATGGAAATACAAATAGAACAGCCCCTTTGTAGTAATGATTCCTCTGCCCAAATAGATTTGAAAGATTTTTTCTGGAATTTAAAGCTAATATGAATTACTACTCATGAATATTAGCTTCATTTATAAAAATTATTTTTAATATTCATGGTAAAAAATGTTCAATAAATACTTGACAGATCAATGAAGAGCAGAATATCAATTTCATCATCTATTTTAGTTTGCAGAGTGGAAACTGAATGACTTTAGATGTTTCTAACCATCAAATCCATGTCCACAGAATAAACAAGTACCCTTGGAGGATGGCACGGCAACCCACTCCAGTATTCTTGCTTAGGGAATCCCATGGACAGAGTAGCCTGGTGGTCTACAGTCCATGGGGTCACAAGGTGAGCCATGACTGGAGTGACTTACCTCATATGCACCACTAAAGGGATATGGAGTTTCATCAGAGTTGCCCCATCCTCTGAGTAAAGAACCAATCTGGCCAATCCTTTTCACATTAGATGGTTTATGTGAGTGAACTAATGACATCAACTGTGTATGTAGTTTGACCAAATAGGATTTAGCAAAACTATTTATTATGAAGCCCAAACAGTGCTCTTATCAGCTAAGAAACTTACATCATCAGTGACTTCTTGAATTAGTTATGGTTTTCTATTTATGATGATATACAGGTAATATCAGTATACACACAACATTAAGGTTTTCTATGACCTATTATGAACATACATTTAAAAATATTAACTTTTGAACATCTTGCATGTCGCATGATGTACTCTGCATATAAGTTAAATTAAGCAGAGTGACAATATACAGCCTTGATGTACTCTTTTCCTAACCTGGAACCAGTCCATTGTTCCATCATGTGAAATGCTGGGGTGCATGAAGCACAAGCTGGAATCAAGACTGCCGGGAGAAATATTAATAACCTCAGATATGCAGATGACACCACCCTTATGGCAGAAAGTGAAGAGGAACTAAAGAATCTCTTGATCAAAGTAAAAGAGGAGAGTGAAAAAGTTGGCTTAAAGCTCAACATTCAGAAAACGAAGATCATGGCATCCAGTCCCATCTGGGGACTGGATTTGCATCACTTTATGGCAAATAGACGGGGAAATAATGGAAACAGTGACAGATTTTATTTTCTTGGGCTCAAAATCACTGCAGATGGTGACTGCAGCCATGAAATTAAAAGATGCTTGCTCCTTGGAAGAAAAGCTATGACAGACAAACCCAGACAGCATATTAAAAAGAAGAGACTTCATTTTGCCAACAAAGGTCCATCTTAATCAAAGCTATGGTTTTTTAGTAGTCATGTATGAATGTGAGAGGTGGACCATAAAAAAGAAAGCTGAGGGCCACAGAATTGATATCTTTGAACTGTGGTGTTGGAGAAGACTCCTGAGAGTCCCTTGGACTGCAAGGAGGTCCAACCAGTCAATCCTAAAGAAAATCAGTCCTGAATATTTGTTGAAAGGACTGATGTGGAAATTGAAGCTCCAATACTTTAGACACCTGATGGGAAGAAGAGACTCACTGGAAAAGGCCCTGATGCTGGGTAAGACTGGAAGGCAGGAGGAGAAAGGGAAGACAGAGGAGGAAATGGTTGGATGGCATCACCGACTTGATGGACATGAGTCTAAACAAGCTCTGGGAGTTGGCAATGGACAGGGAAGCCTGGCGTGCTGTATTCCATGGGTTTGCAAAGAGTCACACACAACTGAGTGACTGAACTGATGGAATTGAAAACTTAAAAATGGTAAATTTTATGTTAGTGTACACTTTACCACAATAAAAAGAAATCTATACAAAAAGATTTCTCAGAAGGGTAGTAAAACATAGTGGTTAGTACGCTGTTTCTAGAACTGGAACTCTTATAAACCCAGTTCAACAGTTAGATGTATTACTCTGGATTATAAAATATTTGACCTCTTAAAGACTCAATTTCCTTGTCTTTAAATAATACATTAGTCATAGCTTAAAGGTTTGTTGTGATGACTAAGTAAAATTATGCCTGTTAAGGCTATTAATACATGGTCCAGATATGCATAAGGCTATTATTCCACTCTTGAAATGGTGGTATTCCACTGTAGTCCTTAAGTCATCTGATTCAAGGTGTCTACAGGAATGCATTCTCTACCATATTGGGTACGGTAAAGGGATTGATAGAATTCTGTTCTATCAATGAACAGAGGGTAGAGCCTCCACAACAAAGGGTAAAAGGACAGCATCAAGAAAGGTAGGAGAGGCAGAGACACATTCTTGCCAGGTAAAGACCCACACCCTAGCTGCTGCGATCCATAACCAGGAGGAATCACAAAGATATGAGTCTCTTCTCTGAAGAGCCAGGGACTCGAGCTCTACATGAGACACCGAAACCCCTAGATTCTACACAGGACAGATTCCCAAAACACCTGGCTTTGAAATCCAATAGGGAATATGACCAGGAAAACTAGAGGAGAGCAGAGAACAGAAAAATTGCTCTTAAAGGGCCTGTGCCCAGACTCAACCTAAAAACAAGTGCAAAAACACCACACTGAAAAGTGCAAGGACAACATATGAAGAGGACCCTCTTACTAAATCTTAAAGCATCTGCTGGAGAGACAGGAACCAGCTGGGATGTCTCGCAGGGATGGAGACACTGGCGGGACTTTTTTTGTTATCTCTGGCTACCTTGCTCTCGCCAGTACTGGAAGTCTCCCTCTAACCTGTCAGTACCAACAGGTTTCCCATGCTGAAAGCCCTGCCCACTCCATTCCTGAGCCTCAGGTGGACCTCAGAGACACCCAAACAACAGGGCTGTCCACCAGTGTCCAGCTGCTGCTGCAGCCCTGACACCACAGAAGGAGATACCCACAAAGGGGTCACCCCTAGAGTGCTGGGCTGTGGTGGTCAGGCAGGATCGTGAGTCCCACTGGGCATCTCCTATATAAGGCCACTCTGCCAAGACTGGAAGAGACAACTGATTTACCTACTGTGTAGAAACAGAGAACTAGGCAAAATGAGACAGGAATATGCTCTAACCAAAAGAATAAGACTAAAACATCAGAAAAAGAACTAAACAAAACAGAGATAAGCAATCTCCCTGATAGAGACTGAAAAGTAATCATAAAGATGCTTACCAAACTCAGGCGAGGCTTCCCAGGGGGTGCTAGTGGTAAAAGAACCCACCTGCCAATGCAGGAGATACAAGAGATGTGGGTTTGATCCCTGGGTTGGGAAGATCCCTTGGAGGAGAGGTTGGCAACCCACTCCAGTATTTTTGCCTGGAGAATCCCATGGACAGAGGAGCCTGACGGGCTGTAGTCCATGGGGTCGCAAAGAACTGGACACTACTGAAGTGACTTAGTACACATGCAGGCTCAGAAGAAGAATGGAAGAACACCATGAGAATGACAACAAAGAGACAGAAAGTTTAAGAAAGCACCAAACAGAAGTTGTAACTGAATGAAAAATGCACTAGAGGGGTTCAATAGCAGACTGGATGAGGATGAAGAGCGAATCAGCAAGCAGAAGACAAAGCAGTGGAACTCACCCAGACAGAGCAACAAAATGGAAAAAAAAAAAAGTGAAGATAACTTAAGGGACTTTGGAGGCAACAAGAAGTGGAATAACATTTGCATTATAGGACTCCGAAATGAAGAAGGAGAGAAAGGACCAGAAAAATTATTTGAAGATAAAGTGGCTAAAATTTCCCTAATCTGGGAAAGCAAACAGATACCCAGGTTTAGGAAACCCAAGAGAGTTCTAATAAGATGAACCCAAAGGATTACATCAAGACATATTATAATTAAAGTGGTAAAAGCTAAGGATAAAGAAAAAATCCTAAAAGCAGCAAGAGAAAAACATCTTGTTATGTATGTATATGGGAATCCCCATAAGGCAGTGAGTAAACTTTTCAGCAGAAACTTTATTTTTTATTCCTATCTTCATTTGTGTCTCAAGTTTAACAGTTTGAATTCAATCTAGATACCTGTCACTCACCTATCTCTATCTCCTTAATACCACCAAAGTTTATGTGCTTCATATTTTTTCCTTCCTGCTTCCCAAAACCTTAAAATTAACTGGATCTTTAGGAAAATTTCAGAATATGTCAGCAAAATAATAACAGATCAGAATCCAAAAAGAAAAATATTTAAAATCATATTCAGTAATGAGAAATTTTACTCGGCTAAAAATTACCTTATATCAACAAGAGAGCATTCCAAAGATAATCTTCCCATTGTCTTTAGGTTTTCTTGAAGTTCTCTTAAACAGTTAATGTTCACTACTAGTTCAACACCCACATCATACAGCAAGACCTATGAAAACAATAAAACATATATGGAAAAATAATGCTTTTTTTTTTTGCAAACTGAAAAGTGTAATAAAAATTGCATGAAAATACAAAATCCATTTACTTTCTTGATTAAATTTTTAATTCTGCATTTACCTCTACCAATGTGTCAGTAACCATTCTGATGATCTGGCCCCTTCGCCACTGATTTTTATCTGGGATATTAACAGCACAGTGCATATCACTTTCCCATTTAACAGGTTCCCATTTTGAGTTTTCATAAGCAGCAACCATCTTTTCTCCTAAACTATGTAAAGAAAAAAATTTTTTACTTCTCTGAAACTTTCTTTTAACGTACAATTCTCTGACCTCCCCCCACCACCCCCCTCCCCGCCGTCCTTGTTCTATTCCAAACAGACTGGATGCCTCCTTCCTCCTTGAGCACCTGAGCACATTTCTACTGCAGGGTCTTGAACTAGCTCTTTCCTCTGCCTGACATGAGCTCCCCCCAGGCATCTGCAAGGCTCGCTTCCTCACTGCCTTGAGGATTTATCTCAAGTGTCACTGACTCTGTGAGGTCTTCCTGCCCAGCTGCTTTATTTTTCTTGTCTTCATCATCATTTCCTGCTGTAGGTAACTTTCTTTGTTCACTGTCATTCCCTCTACTAGAATGTAAGCTCCATGACTGCACAAACTTGTCCATGTTTTTATCACTGTATCCGCAACAGCTATAATACTGGCTGTCAAATAATAGGTGCTCAATAAGCCTTTGTGGAATATAGAAATCTTAATACAATAAAAATAATCAGTTAATATACTATTTGTATACTGTTAACTAGTTTTTAAGTGACTATTTAGCGGAAATAATTTTGTACTTTTAAAATTCTGCATTTATGAGTTCTAGATCTTTGAAATAAAATACAGAAAAGAGAATAAACTATATGCACAATATGTTTTCCTTGGATGTTATACCTATGAAGCAAGTTTTCTGTTAATAACCACTGAACATAGATCTTCTCAGGAGACACTATATTGCAGATGTGCACAGGCAGTTCCTTATTATAAAGTGACTGCAGATCCTCACTAGGTAGAGATTTTGCAAATAGAGGATTTATTAAGTTGTTTACTTCATTTGAAATAATTTCTTCTGGAGAAGGATCCCATACTTCAATATGCTTTTTAGAATTATCTTTGAGGGTATATCTGAAAAAAAAAAACCCAATCCATTAGCAATATGAATAGTTTGCAAAATATTTATGTTTGTATTTGGTTAGATCTAGAGATGAACAAGTTTTAGTTATGATTCATTGCTTTGCAGTTTTTATATTAACAGCAATTTTAGTCTTTTTTAAAAAGAGTTCTTAATGACTAACAAAGGGCCAAAAGGAAAAAAACATGTAAAATCCAGGCTTTCTACTTTAAAAACAGTTTAAAATACCAAGTGTGCTAATAATTTCATCATTCCTTATTGATATTTTGTATTCACAAAAGAATAGAATTATTCAGGATTTTTTGGGGTAACTTGAATATTTCTCTTTGCCTAAAAGTTATCAAACTGTTTGCCAATGAGATACAAGTGGGAAACAATTGTTACTTTAAAATCTGTTAACAAGCAAAATTACTGAATTAAGTGTTTAGAATGTTTAATTAATCTGAACAGTTCAGAATCTAATCACAGATAATTAATGGCAAAATTTCTTCAAAGGAAAAATCTTAAGTTCTTTCATAATAAACTGGAGATTGTGCTAACCAGAGGGGCTAAGTTTTTCCTTCTTAATCTACTGGGTAGTTTTCGGTCCTTATTTGACATGAACTCTGAGCCAAAACTAGCTACTCTTGCCTTCTTGAAATGTTCTCTTTCTTTGGTTCCTGGTTTTTCTCTAATCTCAGTTTCCTGATCTACCATTTTTCTGGGCTTCTCTCTCCTGTAAATGATAATGCTCAGAGTTGCATGTTTATCTATGGAGATTGAGATGATTGATGAAAATGATGGACTCATTTATCATGTATATGTTCACTCCCCATCTGAATCACCCAATCAGGTCTCTCTCGATGCTCCAGACCCTGATATTCATTCCTCTCATTCAACTAATATTTACTGGGTACATACTGTGAGCCAAGAGTTTTAGGTTCCAGAGATACAGCAGTGAACAAAATAAGCAGAGTCTAGTCCACCAGGATCTTATGGTATTATGATAGTGAGTGATTACATAATTACACAAAAAATAAATTACAAAGAACAAGGGCATAGGCCAATGAAATCTAACCTAGTCTTGGAGCTGGAGAAGGTTTCTCTGATTAAGTGACATTTCAATTGAGATTTTAAAAGGACAAGCAGAAGTTAGGGAGGCATTCCAGAAACCAAAGGAAAAATATGTAGCTTTGACATAGTAAAGTAATAGGACATGGCATGAACCCTGAAGCACACAGGGGCCAGATTATTTGGGAAACATTGTTTTATTTTATAAAGGATAGTGTGCATGTATGATACAGGTGACCTCAACAGACTAGACTGTGGGACTTCACATTTCCTTTCTTCTTACTCCTTAGGCGCTCAGGGAAAACACTGATCAAGGGAAAATCATGTTCTAATTTGAGGACAGGCAACAGATACAATCCTCTGGAGGAGGGCAAGGCAACCCACTCCAGTATTGTTGCCTGGAGAATCCCATGGACAGAGAAGCCTGGTGGACTACAGTCCATGGGGTCACAGAGAGTCGAACACAACTGAACAACTAACACACACACAGAACAGATACAATGGAAACAGTAAGACTGGTTGTGGTCTGCAGGAACCAGCAATCTGGGTACTGAAGGGCAAGGAAACTGACTGGGGCTGCCAAGGTGGGTTTGTAATAACTGGTTCCCTGGGAAGGTTTGCAAAGCAATGTGCCTCCCCTGCCTCAATTATTTTTAATCAGAGGACAACTGCTTTACAATGTTGTGTTGATTTCTGCCATACATCAACATGAATCAGCCGTAGGTATTCACATGTTCCCTCTGTCCTGAACCTCCCTCCCCTTCTGATCCCTCTAGTTTGTCACACAGCTCCAGGCTGAGCTCCCTGCACTATATAGCAACTTCCCATTACCAATCTATTTTACAAATGGTAATGTACATATTTCAATGCTACTCTCTCAATTTATCCCACCCTCTCCTTGCCCCACTATGTCCATAAGTCTGTTTATTGTGCCTGAGTCTCTATTCCTGCCCTGCAAATAGGTTCATTGGTACCATTTTTCTAGATTCCATATATATGTGATAATATATGGTATTTGTTTTTTTCTTTTCTGACTTACTTCACTCTGTGTAACGGGTTCTAGGTTCATCCACTTCACTACAACTGACTCAAATGCATTCTTTTTTATGGCTGAGTAATATTCCATTCTATATATGTACCACAACTTCTTTATCCATTTACCTGTTGACAGACATCTAGGTTACTTCGATGTTCTGGCTATTGTAAATAGTGCTGCAATGAACACTGGGGTACATTTTTCAATTATGGTTTTCTCAGGGTATATGCCCAATAGTGGGACTGTTGGGTCATATGGCAGTTTCATTCCTAGTTTTTTAAGAAATTGCCATACTGTTCTCCATAGTGGCTGTATTAATTTACATTCCTACCAGCATACAAGAGGAAAAGTTTCCCTTTTCTCCACATTCTCTCCAGCATTTACTGTTTACTGTTTGCAGATTTTCTGACGATGACCATTCTGACGGGTGTATGGTGACCTGACTGTAGTTTTGATTTGCATTTCTCTAATAATGAGCAATGTTGAGCTTTTTTTTTGATATGTTTATTAGCCATCTGGATGTCTTCTTTGAGGAAATAACTGTCTGCTTAGGTCTTGTGCCCATTCTCTGATTAGGTTGTTTGTTTTTCTGATGTTGAACTGCATGAACTATTTGTGTATTTTGAAGATTAATCCTTTGTCAGTTGCTTCATTTGCAATTATTTTCTCCTCTTCTGAAGGTACTCTTTTCATCTTGTTTATGGTTTCCTATGTTGTGCAAAATCTTTCAAGTTTAATTAGGTCCCACTTGTTTATTTTTGTTTTTATTTCCATTACTGCAGGAGGTGGGTCATAGAGGATCTTGCCGTGATTTACATCAACATTTTCAAAAGTAAGTATTTTAACTTAAATTAGTTAAGATCACTGACTCCTACTCTCATTTTTTGGTCTAAGTATTCCAGGGGCTTGGCTAAGGGGAGTTGACTTTGAAACACATTTAGTTTGGATCTAGTGGGATACAGTTTTGTGGTTAACCACCACTTCCCTGTGGAGTTACGCTACTGCTAGCCATCTTGGTATGGGAATGGATTCCAGAAATACTCCTAAGACCTTTATTTTTTTTTTTAATTTAATTAATTAATTTATTTATTTTTTATCACAACCATAGTGTATCTTTTTTTTTTTTTTTACTTTTTTTTTTACATGTATTCCCCATCCCGGTCTCCTAAGACCTTTAATGTCACAACATGAAAATATAAAGCAGATATACCACTATGAGGAGGATGCTGGAGACAAACTATTTAATGAGTACAGTGAGCCACTATATGCCTATTAATCTGGTGTAACAGTGCTTCCTTTTTATACTTAAACATGTCCCAGTTTGGACAAAAATTAGGGTTACCCTATTAAAAAGTGAATTAAATCAAATCAAGACATTAATAAATATCAGTTTAAACTATATTAAATATTCATTAAAATAAAACTTGAAGCGTCTTGAATATTATATACATAATGTATATATAATATATGTTTATATAAGGTATATAAGTAAATATTTTGCAGGTATAGTGATGTAACAGATTACAATCTCAAGAGACAACCCTTAATCCTGCAAAGAACAGGGCTTTGAGGTGAGCAGCCGTAAAAGGTGTGTTCCCTCCAGCAGTCCTTAAATCTTAATAGAATGACAAATCACCATATTCTGACCAACAGACCTTTTCCAGGAAGCCCTGACACTTGATGCAATGCAAAAAGGGGGTGCAAGCAGGCATCTTGAACACAAGCACAGGTGCCCACAGGAACCAGAAAAGTGACCAGAATGAGTGCAGTTGTGAGGGGGCACATTGTATGTAGGGAAGGGGAAACTTATGGGGAGCTTTCTTTTTTTTAGTTTATTTTATTGAAGTATAGGTGATTTACAATGTTATGTTAATTTCTGCTGTCCAGTAAAGTGATTCAGTTATACATATACATAATTTTTTCATATTCTTTTCATCATGGTTTATCCCAGGATATTGAATATAGGTCCCTGTGCTATACAGTAAGACCTTGTTTATCCATTCTATATATACTAGTTTGCATCTGCTAAGTGGGGAGCTTTCTGTTTACAAATTTGGCACCAAATTCCACTTTGAAGAAAATGCCTGAGGCCAGTTGAGGCTCTCCAGTCATTGGTGGCTCAGCTGGTAAAGAATCCACCTGCAATGCAGGAGACCCTGGTTTGATTCCTGGGTCAGGAAGATCCCCTGCAGAAGAGAGAGGGTACCCACTCTAGTATTCTTGGGCTTCCCTGGTGGCTCAGATGGTAAAGAATCCACCTGCAATGTGAGAGACCTGGGTTTGATCCCTGGGTCGGGAAGATCCTCTGGAGGAGGGCATGGCAACCCACTCCAGTATTCTTGCCTGGAGAATCCCCACAGACAGAGGAGCCTGGCAGGCTACAGTCCATGGGGTTGCAAAGAATCAGACACGAGTGAGCGACTAAGCACAGCACACAATGTACATATAATACATAAAAGAAATAACAGTCACCTAAAATTAACTATGAATTTTAGAAATTTACATGACACTACCAATAACTGAGCTATGGTTCTAAAAAAAACTTCAAAAAATTACCAACAAACAAATTTCAGTCAACCACACTAGAGAAAAGACATTTACTTTTCTGTTCTCTCCAAAGGAAATATCACTAAATCTGCCATTTCACGTGGTAATCAGTATACAGTTAAAAAAATCTGTAAAAGTATTTTACAGATGATTCTGAATTTTCTAATATTTGTAGTATTTGTCAACTTTTGAAAATCTGTAATTTGTTGATTTCTTTTAACAGTTTACATAAATGTTATAATTTTGCATACTTCTCCTGAATGGGGGCCTCCCAAATGTACAAATTTCAGGCTGACCCATGAACCTTGGATTTGCCTGTGAGGAGTACAAGGCTGAGCATTTGGGAGTGAAGAATCATGCCTGTCTCTCTCTTCACCTCCCTTCCTTAGCTACTGACACGCCTGCTCCTGAGGCTACATCATGTGAGCCCTGCGGTCCTCCGGCCAAGGGCATGACCCACAGCTCACCAATCACTGCACAGTGCTTTGCGTCCTGGGGATCCTCCCTCTGCTTTAGCAGCCACAGGACCTCACACAACATGCCCAAAGAGGGTGTCACCTCCCCTCTCTGTGTGTCGCCTCCACTCTACCCACAAGCCTGGGTCCTGTTCTCAGCAGAAGCACCCAAGATGTCCTTCAGTAAGTGACTGAATAAACAAACTGTGATACAACCAGACAATGGAATATTATTCAGTGCTAAAAAGCAACGAGCTATCAAGCCAGAAAAAGACACAGAGGAACCTTAAAAGCAAATTACTAAATGAAAGAAGCCAATCTGAGGTTACATACTGTATGATTCCACCGTGAAAAAGACACAACTATGGAGGCGATAAAAAGATCAGTGTTTGCCATAAGCTAGAGGGGAGGGATGGAGAAGGAAACGGCAACCCACTCCAGTATTCTTGCCTAGAGAATCCTGTGGACAGAGGAGCCTGGTGGGCTGCTGTCCATGGGGTCTCACAGAAGCAGATGCGACTGAAGGACTTAGTATGCATGCATGCATTGGAGAAGAAAATGGCAACCCACTCCAGTATTCTTGCCTGGAGAATCCCAGGGACAGAGGAGCCTGGTGGGCTACAGTCCATGGGGTTGCACAGAGGCGGACATGAAGTGACTTAGCAGCAGTAGCAGCAGAGGGGAGGGAAGAATGTGAGGCTCTCACAGATTTTCAGGACAGTGGAGATACTCTGTATGACACTACAGTTGTATATTCAAGCCACTACATAATGTCCAAATCCACACAATATACATATAGTAACCCAAACTTTGGACTTTGATGATTCTGACATGTCAAAAGAGTTTCACTGTTCCTTGTAAATACACTACTTTCCTGCTTGATAACAGTGGGGAGGCTGTGTCTATGTGGCAGAAGCATAAAGGAACTCTGTACTTTCCACTCCATGTTCTGCACCTAAAATGGCTACAAAAAACAGTCTATTTAACAAAATAAAAAGGATGACAACCCTAAATATGAAACATGTAACTATAAAACATAAGGAGAATACACAGGAGAAAATCTTTACAACCTTGGCTTAGGCAAAGATTTCTCAGCTAAATACAAAGTGCCTGAATTATAAAAGAAAAAATTGCCAAACTGAACTTCAAAACCAGAACCTTCGGCTCTTTAAAAGACACCCTAAGAAGCCAGATTGGAAGAAAGTATTTGCAAAGTACATGCCTAATGAAAGACATGTCTAGAATATATAAAGAGCTCTCATATTTCAATAATAATAAGCAATAGTTTTTAAAAAGGGCAAAACATCTGAAAAGATACTTCACCAAAGAAGAGATACAGATGGCAAACAGCACATGGTAAGATCTTTAATGTCATTAAGGAAATTAAAATGAAAACCACTATACTCCTATAAGAAGGGCTAATATAAACATAAAATGACAAAGCCAAGTGCTAGCAAGAATGGAGAACAATACAACTCTCATAAACATTTGGCAGGTTCTCATAAAGGTAGAAATAAATTTACCTTACAAACAGCAATTCTGCATACATACATATAGCTACACAAACACCTGTATGCAAATATTTATGGCAGCTTTATTCACGAAGTTTCCCCAAACTGGAAATAGCCCAAATGTCCATCAATTGGTAAACATATAATATTATGGTGCACCCATACAATGGAATACGAGTGAGCAAAGCAATGAGAACTACCGGTATAGGCAACATGACCTAATCTCAAAAGCATTATGCTAAATGGAAAGGTTGTTGTTGTTTAGTCACTCAGTTGTGTCCCACTCTTTGCACCCAAATGGAAAAGCAAAACACAAAAAGGCCAAGTATTATATGACTCCATTTATATGAAGGTGTGGAAAAGACAAAACTATGGAGACAGAAATTTGATCAGTAGCTGCCAAGGACTAGGTATGGAGGAAGGAGACTCACTACACAAAGAAACAAAGTGAACTTTGGGGAGTGACAGAAATAGTCTGCAACTTGACTGTAATGACAGCTGCATGATTATATGTGTTTATCAAAACTCATAACTCTACCTAAAAAGCGTGAACTTTTTTTATTGTGTATGTTATATATTTCAATAACCCTATGTAAAAAAAAAGAAAACTCAGTCCAATACATTTAAATATTTCTTCTCCTTTCTCTCTCTCCCGTGCTTAGGACCTACAGTGGAAAAGGCCAGCCCTCTCTTCTACTTCTGGTTCCATCAGTATTGGGTGGGGGTAGAGGCGGGGAGGAGGGAGGTAGAGCCAGACCACACGCTGGCCATGTCACGGCAGACCTCTGCTGGGTGTCGCTGCTTCTCTGGCACACCCTGACAGGCATCACTGTGGGTGTACTCAAATACTGGCTTCCTTAAGGGATGTGTGATGGAGTTCTTCAGGAGATCCCTTAGGAGCCACTGCCCTGCACAAGTCCCTACCATAGAAGAACTGCTGTGTCCTGACTTCAAACCCTCCCACCTTTCTTACCACCACTCTCCCCTTCTGCTTCTGGGCTGCCTCAACCATAGGCCTTTTAACCAGGACAGGCCTTTTAACCAGACCTGTCCTGGGTAAAAGCACAATGGTCAAGTCTGGCTCCCCTTCAAAGTATCCACTTGCACCCAGGAAAAATTCCTATTTCTCCAGATGAGAATGCAGGCTACTCTACTGTTTTGCTCATTCCTACCCTGCCATTTTCTCTCTGATCCTCTTCACAAACGGTTCAAGAGGCCATCTAAGCAGACATCCCACCTAAAATAAAATGTCAGTTTCCTTTTCTCAGATGCACCCTTTATCTCCAGGAACCATTTTTGTTGTAGAGCCCGGTAGGAATGAAGAAAAAGCAACTCTACTCCCACCTAGACTAAAGACTCCAGTTATTTTTTCTTCTCATTTTACTGACCCATTAACAGGGAAAGACTCCTGTCTATAGTCTAAGCAGATCTCCAATGGAGAATGATATGCCAGTTTCCCTTTTTGTGAACAGTGTTACATATAAACTAAAAATAAAAGTTTACAGGTCCACTTACCCTACTTCATAAGATGCTAAGCCCTCTTTGACTAGCTGGTCATTAATACTGGTGGGAATCATTCCAGGAGCACCAAGAAAATCAAAAAGTTCAACTAATAGCACATTATCTTCCAGAATTTCTGTAAAAATATTAAGACTAGTTTGGGGAAAGAAATAAATACATCACAAAATATACTAAATGAAGCAATTTTAAAAACCTGAGAACTTAATTTCCTTCATTTTGCATACATGAGGCCTCCTGCTCAATAATATCCATTTCTCTCTAGGGGTAGATACATCACTTGTCATACATGAAAGAACTGCCAATGTTAATAAAATTTACATTTTAGGTTATTATGTACTATATTCTATAATAAACCAAAAGCAGCTTGAAGCTTTTAGATTCAGAGAAAAACACAGTGACATACATTAATTGCAACAGCATTCTGTTGTGGTTTTAAACTGTTTTACTGGATTCTGCGAAGTTCCAGAGGGCAAAAGATATAAATAAAAATTAATCCAGGCCAGTGCTTATTTGTGAAGCTTTACAGCTTTTCTAAAAATGACACACACATGTGTGCATGCACACACACACAGAATGACACGAAGTTTCAAACAACAAAAACTCAACCCAGAGCATTAACTGGAATTCCCCCCCCCCCCCCCCGCTTCTGTTTTTAGGACAAACCATCTAACTTTTTACCTGCTTATTAGGCCTATTTCCTAAACAAAACAGGGAGTCAGCTTAGGGTAAAGTTACATCTCATGTGCCTATTTGCTTATTTTGAGCACAGAGAGGTTCTCTGTACACACCTGAAGGAGTGAGAGAAATTTCTTTAAGAAACACACACTTCTATGCATTGAGATCAGCTAATGTCTACACTTCTATACAATAGTAGCTGACAGGTGCAAAGAGAATGATGATTCCAAATGAAAAGATAAACTATTATCAGCAGTAACATCCTACATTGCCTAGCCATAAGAATACTTGTTGGAAGGCTTTTTTCCCCCAAGAATTTAAAAATCATTCCTGACTACTTTTTAATGGACCAGATATATTATCTAGAAACAAAACGCTAAGCAACTCGGAACCTTCAGTAAAGTCCAAGCTCCTCACTTTTCATCTTCTATGTTCCCCTTAGCACTTTGATTTCATACTTTCCTTGCACAAGTTCTTTATTCCAGAGGGCCAACTTTTCCTGTGTTCCATACTTTTACTATCTTACCTGCTCTGCTCCTAATTAAATGTCCTTTGCTTTATAAGATAACAACATATACTAATCTCATCACTGCAGGTTGATAGGGAAAGATGTTTTAGGTCAAGTGGGGCCTTCTGTCACTCCTTAAATCAAATACACTTACACTTGTGCTCAGATATTACTGGCATAACAATTAACTGAGAATGAAAAAGGGACAGTCAAGAAAGAAATCCGAGTTAAGTCTTCATGGGTTAGCCTTGGGAGGAGACATTAAACAAAGGAGCTAAAAACCAATGAAATAAAATACCAAGAGGAAAGCTAAAAGGACAATTAAAGCACTTTAAAGTTAGAGCCAGTTCATTAGAAAAGACCCTGATGCCGGGAAAAACTGAGGGCAAGAGGAGAAGGGGAGGACAGAGGATGAGATGGCTGGATGGCATCACCGACTCAATGGACATGAGTTTGAGCAAGATCAGGGAGATAGTGAAGGACAGGGAGGACTGGCATGTTGTAGTCCATGGGATTGCAAACAGTTGAACACAACTGAGCGACTGAATAACGACAAAGTCAGCTCAAGTTACTCAGGACTAAAAGACCCTTAATTTAGACAAAAAATTCTATAGACTAAGGGTACAACTTCTATAACCATATTCCTCTTTTACAGAACTACTGCATCAGAATAACATCTTATACAAAGTGAATTAACACATTCTAGGTTATAACTAAATAATTAAATCATTTCTAGGTTATGTGGCCTTGAGCAATTGATCGCTAAGCTTCAATTTCTTCATTATAAAACAGTCTAATAATCTCATGATGTTTTGGGTTTGCTAAATGAAAATGAAAAAGTAGATATCATAAAAAGGGACTTTGAAAGTGCCATATAAGTCAAACCTAAGTAAACATAGTTGTATACATCCTGCACTAGTACCGCTCAGATCAACACAGCCAATGTCAGTCACAGCTTTGGAAAAGATCAAAATACAACAGCAGCTTTCGAATCCTCCATCCAAATCCCTTGGGGTCATACATGTTTCACAATTCTTCAAACTGAGAAAAGCTATACAGAATACATACTTATCACTTTCTAATACCCCCAGAAATTCTGAGGCAGCAATCATGACTATCCTGAAGTAGACTATATGATGAATACTCACTATAAGGGAGATCAATATTAGATCTTTATGTAAACTCAGGTTTTGCCACTAAACTTGTTGAGTTACAAAACTGAGGGCTAGAGCTTAGCCTGTGTATCAGACCCAAACTGTTTCAAAGATAAACAATTTTTTCCAAAATAAGCTGAGAACCTACAGTTAAATTCACCTGAGTCAAATAAAATAAAAAACTATTTTCTAGTTATCTCCCATTTCCCTTTGCTTTCCTGAAAATTGATGAGGGACAGAGACTGGCACAAAGGCAAAGAGAAATAAGAGAAGTTAACTCCTGGCTTTAGGATTTTCAAGAAGACACGCTAAGGATGACTTGATCTTCAGTGGAAATTTGCCTCATGTGCTGATTTTAGGTTCTTGGGCCTGCAGAAGGTATTATTCCATTGTCCTCAGTTCTCAATAAATGTTACTTCTCACAGCTCATACTGACAACACACTGAATTTATAAGATCTGAAAAATGTAATATATTTTACTCTTGGTCTTATTTAAGATTATGATCACATGGCACCCAATAAAAATGAAGAAAGCTTACTAATGATGGAACATGTCATAAACTTATCTTGAGTCTTTTCTTCAAATTTTTCTTTAGCATTTTTTGACCACTGCACTGTCCCTTTATATGGTTCAATATAGGCCAGCTTACATTTAATTGCCTAGGTCAAACAAAATTACATCATTAAGAAAGTAATGTTAACTTACAGTTATTTTAGAATTCAAGTGTTAAATGTGTACAAAACCAAACTTTGCATTTGAATTTAATACATATTTAGAAAACAAATGTCCAAAGATCTCTCTAACAATACTTATAAATGCAAACAGCTGGAATCAACAGAGTATGGGATTATGAGGTACAAACTATTACATATAAAATAAGCTACAAGGATATATTGAACAACACAGGAAATATAGCCAATATTTTATAACTATAAATGAAGTATAACTTTAAAAAATTGTGACTCACTATATTGTACACTTGTAACTTGTATAATACTCTACACCAACTATATGTCAATTAAAAAAATAAAATTCCGAATAGCTTATTAAAAAATACCAAAACCAAAGAGGAAACAAAAAACCCCAGAGTGCTTTGCTGAATGAACCATTTTATACTCAGACACTGGAATAATAAGCATCCACTGAAAGAACTGCAGATATTAATACTACAACACATTGTTAAATGAAAATGCAGGTTATAGGACTATATATAGTCTTATAATTGTTAAAAACACAGAAGATGCATCTTAGAAGTATATATATCAAAAATACTGAATAATTCTTAGTGATTCCTCCTTCATTTTATTATCTATATTTTCAAGTCTTTCCTGTATTATTTTATCCATTTTAAATGAAAAGTACTGCTTAACAACAATTCAAATACTAGGGGTATATAAATAAGGAAATAAGCCTCCTTAACCATACTTATCTCTGGGGAGTAGGATTCCAAGAGAAGGGTAAGTATTTTACCTATCCTTCCAGACATCTTTTTCTTGCACATGTTACATATACTTAAACATAAATGGGATCACAGTAAAACCACTTCTGTAATGACTTTTTTCACATAATACATCATATTCTTATCACATTGTACAGTTATTTTAAAATAATACATTAAAGGCTGCAGACCAGTAAGTACTTACAAAAACACACATATTATACACATAAGTATAATTAATGCTTATCTGCTAAGATACATATTATTTCTTAAATAGTAACTACAGAAATTCTGATGGCCCATGAGTTAGAAGTTATTTATAGAAAAACTGCAGTTAAAAGAATATTTCTACAGTAAAAATAACTTCAAAACTCCTTTCATGTTTGTACTGATATTCTAAACCTATGATTCACAGTAAGCAGATTACCTTCTCTGCAGGATTCAGAAACTCATCCTTTATCTTACGCATGTCTTTAAGTGTTATTTTTGCTGTATTGCCAAAGTCCACATATTTAACTTCAACTTCACGATGTCCAGGCAATCCTTCAAAAATTATGAAACTGGAAATCACAAACTTGGAAAAAACATTATCTAGCAAAGTTTAGACTGATCTACAATCAACTAGATTAGAATATCTTTTTGTTTAACATACAAACTTAATATTTTTTTAATGTAAAAAATAGTTCTAATATTTTCTCACAAAACCAACCATAATATATTGTTGGTTCAGACTTGGTGAATGAGAAACTAACAATTTAAAGATACCAAAAGATAACCAAAATCAGGATAACAAAGTCATCCAATGCTATGTGTTACAGCCTAAAAGTTAAGAATTAGATCTGGAGTTAAGACACTTAAATGACATGTGACTGTGAGGAAATCTAATTAATCTCTCTAAGATACTACCCTGAGCAAATTACTTTTTTTCTCTCAGCCTCATTATTTCACCTGTAGAGTGGGTGCACCAACAGAGTCAGATCTTAAGATTGTTTTTGATGATTCACCTACTTAAAATACACTTTGCAAAGCACCAAACACAAACTAAGCATTTAATGTTTGTTAGTCAACATAGGTAATTAAACAAGGCAAGAAACTTAATGATCAAGGCACAGATTGAGTCATATAATAATATCTAATAGTGAAATTTTTAAAATTATCTGTAGATACTGTGAAAAATTAGCAGAAACAGACCTCTATGTCAAACTAGTTTTCATATTTTAGAGGTACCAGAGAAATCTCTGGAACATTCAAATAGACTGAAGCATGAATAAAGATCTATCTTTTTATAAACACTCATTTTGAGTGTTTAGCTCCTCTAAGCACATGTGTATACAGTGCTACAAAACTTTTTGCCATTACTTTCAAATTTATAAACTTCTACAGAATACAATTTCAAAATGGAAAAAGTGCAGGTATTCTCTGCTCCTAGGGAGAAGTGAAAGCAAATGGAACAACACTAGTACTACCTAAGATGGCACTCAAGCAGAGTCTGAAAAGACATATGTACCTCAAGTTTAAGGTAAAGAGGTGAGGAAAATGCTCCATCAGAGTAAACCTAAAAAGTAAATGGGATTCAGAAAACTAGCAGCTGAATCTAGGAAAACAAGTGACACAACTCCCCAGAATAACAACAGTGTAGTAAGCCTAGATGACAAGCAAGTCTACAAGGAGCAGGTGATGGAATGATGTTTTCACTGTTACAAAAGAAAAAATCAAACCAACATTATGTGAAAAGTCTTATCATGGAGAAAATTGTTTTAAACTATTAGGAAAATGTAGCCATAATTTTTTTTTAAAAAGTGAAAAATTGATGGAATTATCAACTCAGAATTAAAGTTATACTTTATGGAATAGCACTGAAAATACTTGCACACAATATGAATTTAACTAAAAACTGTGATATAACTATGGAGGAGAGAGTAAGGACAAAACAGCTGTAAGAGATCTAAAACTCATCTAATACATTTACTACCTAAGAGTGAAGTATCTACAAAGTATTACACATTATTTAGAAGAAATAACAGATAAATGACAAAAGAAAGCCAAAAGAATTAAAAGTATTTGTCTTTTCAGTAGAGAGTGGAGTATGTGTAGGTCATTTAGAACTATTTTTTAAATAAGGCAAATGTTAGAAAACAAAATAATGGTTAAAGTCCTAGTCAAATCAAATGAAATCCAAGGAGCCAGAGGTTCATCTATCAACATTATCACTAGCTTTCTAAAGCTAGATGACAAAGCAAAACTGTAAGATCAGATAATATCACTTTAATGATTTAATTTGTACTGACTCAAATGATATCAATTTTTAAATGAAACATCTCCCTGAAGAAATAGGGTGCAATTTCCTACCAATAACTTTTGCTCGGTACCAAACTCCATCTTCAAATTTAGCGACACAGGCTTGATCTTGAACTGGACAGAGGATTTCCAGATTTTCTGCATCTTCACTTTTATAGAATTCCTCAATTCCCTTTAATAGAAATAAAAAATCCAGGCTCTCTATCTAAGAAAGAGAGATTAAAGCAGGGATTACAGCATTATAGTTTCACAGAAACTTAAAATTTAAATGTTCCATGTATTACAGGCACTGCTCATAAAATGATCAAATATTAGAACTGCATTAGACATAAGCAGTCATGTAATTTATGTTTGAAATATTCTGCTACAAAAGTAGTATATAAAAATTAACATATATAAGACATAACAAAAATTTATAAAAATCACAGCCTTCCAGATATCTTAAGATATCCTTCCAGACTTTTTTCTTTTTTTGGCTGTGCCATGCAGCATGTCAGAACTTACTTCCCTGACCAGGGACTGAACCTGAGCCCACAGCAGTAAAAGCACCAATTCCTAACCATTAGACCACCAGAGAACTCTTGTTTCTAGATCTTTTTCTAAACACACTTTCCATGTTTTTTTTTTTTTTTTACCAAAAATCAGACCATACCACACAATTAATAATCTGCATTTTTCTATCAATTCTCATATTCTCTGCTTCAGCAAGTGCTCCTACTAGTACTTTTAAACCATATTATATTTCCCTAACTGACCAACTGTGGTGTTGGAAAAGACACTTGAGAGTCCCCTGGACTGCAAGGAGATCAAACCAGTCAATCTTAAAGGAAATCATTTGAATATTAATTGGAAGGATTGATTCTGAAGCTGAAGCTCCAATACTTTGGACACCTGATGCAAAGGGCTGACTCATTAGAAAAGACCCTGATGCTGGGAAAGATTGAAGGCAGGAGAAGGGGACGAGAGAGAAGGAGATGGTTGGCTGGTTGGTATCACCGACTCGATGGACATGAGTCTGAGCAAGCTCCAGGAGTTGGTGATAGACAGAGAAGCCTGGCATGCTGCAGTTCATGGGGTTGCAAAGAGTCGGACATGACTGAGTGATTGAACTGAACTGACCAAACCCAGTAGCCAATCTGACTACTTGTTATGTTTGGTCATCTAAATAAGTCTTATAAATTAGTGTAGTGTTCTTTTATTTTTTGGGGGGGGCTGGAGGCTTTTATTTATTTATTTTCCATTTATTTTTATTAGTTGGAGGCTAATTACTTTACAATATTGTAGTGTTTTTTGCCATACATTGACATGAATCAGCCATGGATTTACATGTATTCCCCATCCCGATCCCCCCTCCCACCTCCCATGATCCTGTCTTGTTAAAGATAGTCTGCTATTTTTCTGTAGAATGCCTCATCTTCTGGATTTATGTGGTTATGTCTTCATCCTATTATTTACCTTCTTCCTCCACTGAGTTAGGGTATATGCCCTGAATTTCCTCAAAACAGAAAGTTATATCTACAAGTTTGATGGATTCAAGCCAAATCTTTTGGCTAGAATACATCATAGTTGCAACACATCAGAAGACAGCATTACCCACTGTTAGTAAGCTAAGATTCATCTATGGAATGGTGTGGCAACTTTCATCCCTTCTCTGCACAGTTACATGTTTTCCTTGTGATCACCAAGTAATTCATGTATGCTACTTTGCCATTGTATGAATGTCCAATTTCCCATCAGCCATCCATCTAATGGTTTTAAACTGAACTGATAAATCTTTAAATCAGTAATTTCAGTAGAGTTTGTGAAAAGACTGCATAATTCAGTAGAGGTTTAAACAGGATTATCTGGTTACTTTAAAACACAGTTCCTGAAGTTCCTATACTACTTAAAACATAGTTACTAAAACAAAAACAAGGACAACTGTTTATCTCTCCAAATACCAATTCTTAAAGTTAAAAAGTATTTTAACAACCATCTCAAATGGTCAAAAAATGAGGTTTTTCTCTTTTGTGAGTACAACAATGTAAGTGGAAATTTTCTGAAATTTTTGTTATTTCATTAAAAAATCTTAAAACTATTTAAAGCCTTCTAAACCTTTATTTCTAAGTAGGTAGTATTCATAGTCCTCCACTAACAGGCTATCCAAAGGGAACAATGAAATATTCAACAGACAAGTGACAGGAGCAAAACTGCAGAATCTGAAGCTCCAAGCTCTCACTTCCCCATAGAAACACTGAAAAAACGAGAAACCATCTGAACCAACTTTGTTAGGGCTCTGGAAAACAGTTAAAGCTTACAGCATTGAAGCAAACACCCAATTAAACTTTCAACATTCAAGGAAGTCAACATAAACATTTGTCAAACACAAGCTAAAAGAACACAGACACTTCAGTGATCACACACAAGCGATAGTACTTGCAAGAACAGTTTGAAAAAGTCTCAAAAGAAAAAAACTACCACAGTTTTCAACAATTTAAAACAAATCCAGTTATGCATGGGTGCATGTGTGTGGGGGCTATCTGATTTTCAGAGTTTTACTGCATTATAATAGTTGATGCCTAATTTTCAACAAGAAATCAGAAGACATACAAAGAAATAGGGAAACATGGCTCATTACAAGTAACAAAATTCAGTTCAGTTCAGTCACTCAGTTGTGTCCGACTCTCTGTGACCCCATGAAACGCAGCACACCAGGCCTCCCTGTCCATCACCAACTCCCAGAGTTTACCCAAACTCATGTCCATTGAGTCAGTGATGCCATCTAACCATCTCATCCTCTCTCGTCCCCTTTCCTCCTGCCTTCAATCTTTCCCAACATCAGGGTCTCTTCAAATGAGTCAGCTATTTGCATCAGGTGGCCAAAATACTGGACTTTCAGCTTTAATATCAGTTCCTTCCAATGAACACCTAGGACCAATTTCCCTTAGGATGGACTGGTTGGATCTCCTTGCAGTCCAAGGGACTCTCAAGAGTCTTCTCCAACACCACAGTTCAAAAGCATCAATTCTTCTGTGCTCGGCTCTCTTTACAGGCCAATTCTCACAGCCATACATGACCACTGGAAAAGTAAACAGAAAGAAGTCAGCCCTTAGGAAGTCCAGATAGTGGATTTACTAGACAAAGAATTTCGAACTGTCTTAAATATGCTCAAAGAGCTAAAAGAAAAGATAGACAAAGAACTAGAGAGAACAAGGAAAACAATATAGGATCAAAACTAAAATACCAACAGATAGTAATTATAAAAAGGAATCAAATTCTGGAACTGAAAAGTACATTAACTGAAACAAAAAGTACTCTGGAAAGGTTAAACAGCAGATTTGAGTGGCCATAAGAAAGAATCAGTGAACTTGAATATAGGACAATTGAAATAGCGAGAAACAGAAAGAAAAAAAGAATTAAGTGAACAGAGACCAAGATATTTGTGGGATACCATTAATCACACCAATATATGCATTATAGGAGTCCCAGAAAAATGAGAGAAAGAAAGTAACAGAAAGATTATCTGAAGAAATAACGACCAACAACTTCCCAAATTTGATGACATACACAAATCTACAAATCCAATCAGTTAAGTATTACGGGATGATTTACATCTCTCCTGCAAAGATACATTGGAGCTGTAACCCCAGAAACTCAAAACATGACCTTATTTGTAGACAGAGTATTTATAGAGATAATCAAGTTAAAATGAGGTCGTTAAAGTAGGTCAAAGAAAGGCAATGCCAAAGAATGCTCAAACTAATGCACAATTGCACTCGTCCCACATGCTAGTAAAGTAATGCTCAAAATTCTCCAAGCCAGGCTTCAACAATATGTGAACTGTGAAGTTCCAGGTGTTCAAGCTGGTTTTAGAAAAGGCAGAGGAGCAAGAGATCAAATTGCCAACATCCGTTGGAACACAGACAAAGCAAGAGAGTTCGAGAAAAACATATATTTCTGCTTTATTGACTATACCAAAGTCTTTGACTGTGTGGATCACAACAAACTGGAAAACTCTTCAAGAGATGGGAATACTAGGTCTGGAATTTGCTCTTGAGCAATCTGTATGCAGGTCAGGAGGCAACAGTTAGAACTGGACATGGAACAACAGACTGGTTCCAAATAGGAAAAGGAGTAGGTCAAGGCTGTATGTTGTCACCATGCTTATTTAACTTATATGCAGAGTACATCATGAGAAATGCTGGGCTGGAAGAAGCACAAGCTGGAATCAAGACTGCTGGGAGAAATATCAATAACCTCAGATATGCAGATGACACCACCCTTATGGCAGAAAGTGAAGAAGAACTAAAGAGCCTCTTGATGAAAGTGAAATAGGAAAGTGGAAAAGTTGGCTTAAAGCTCAACATTCAGGAAACTAAGATCATGGCATCTGGTCCCATCACTTCATGGCAAATAGATGGGGAAACAGTAGAAACAGTGGCAGACTTTATTTTTGTGGGCTCCAAAATCTCTGCAGATGGTGACTGCAACCATGAAATTAAAAGATGCTTACTCCTTGGAAGAAAAGTTATAACCAACTTCAACAGCATATTAAAAAGTAGAGACATTACTTTGCCAACAAAGGTCCATCTAGTCAAGGCTATGGTTTTTCCAGTAGTCATGTATGGATGTGAGAGTTGGACTATAAAGAAAGCTGAGTGCTGAAGAACTGATGCTTTTGAACTGTGGTGTTGGAGAAGACTCTTGAGAGTCCCTTGGACTGCAAGGAGATCCAGTCAGTCAGTCCTAAAGGAAATCAATCCTGAATATTCATTGGAATGACTGATGTTGAAGCTGAAACTCCAATACTTTGGCTACCTGATGGGAAGAACTGACTCATTTGAAAAGACCCTGATGCTGGGAAAGACTGAGGGCAGGGGGAGAAGGGGACAACAGAAAACAAGATGGTTGGATGGCATCACCAACTCAACGGACATGAATTCGAGTAAACTCTGGAGTTGGTGATGGACAGGGAGGCCTGGTGTGCTGCAGTCCATGGGGTCACAAAGAGTCTGACACGACTGAGAGGCTGAACTGAAAGTAGGTCTTAATTCAGTATGACTAGTTTCCTTATTCAGTTATCACTCAGTTGTGTCTGACTCCTTGTGACCCCATGGACTGCAGCACACCAGGCTTCCCTGTCCATCACCAATTCCCGGAGCTTGCTCAGACTCATGTCCATTAAGTCGGTAATGTCATCCAACTATCTCATCCTCTGTCATCCCC